TGGTAAATGCTGCCTGCGGCGTGTGCTTATGTATCACATTGTCTTGTGTTCTCAGAGCTTGGAAGGTTCAAGTCGGAGGGTTGGAATGCAGGCAGCAGGTCTGGTTCCCTGGGATGGGCAGCAGTACCTATGGCAGAGATGGCAGGAAGAGCAGCAGCCCAGTGTTCCAACTGGTTGCTAGGATACCATGGAGACCCTCCATTGCTAGGCAGACAGGGGAAAAAAATGTTTCCATATGCCTTATAACCTGCAAACAGCAACAATAGAAACATCCTCTGCCTACTTCTCCTCTTTCCCATTAGGAATCCAAACCCAACTCTTTAGTGAAATAACAAGTAGCAGGAGCTTGGCAATGTGGCTCAGTAGGGCCAGGAAGCTGGTCGTTTATACTCTCAGGCAGTCTCTGGAGCTCCTCTTTCGGGGCTTGTCAGTATTTTCATTACAAGCCACCCCTGAGGGGCACACAACTTGACTGTGCTTCCAATCACCCGCGTAGGGTTTTAGCAACCTGTTCTCATATATTTTTTATAAAAGCTTCCACAGCTTCCCATTTACTGCATAGACTAACATCAAACCAACACACTCAAATAGGGAAGTCTATTAGAATAACGTTAAGTGGGAATTTAACTCTTCCACAAAAACAAGGAAGATGAATTTCAGAAACCAACTTCAGTTCTCCTGTCCCATTTGCCCAGGTATGTGAGGAATCTAGTTAGAGTATTTTAAAAATAAAATTAGATTCTTTTCAGTGGGAACAGTTTGAAGTGAGTGGGTAAAGGAACTTGTGTTCTATTAAGAGTGGAACTGGGTTTCCTTAAGGGTTTTAACCATCTGCTGATTGGTTAAATTAAATGCCCTTACCAAGCTGGAATAGTTATGGCTATTAGCAGGATGGTGCTGGTCAGGGGTAGAGGACTGGACTGACATTCAAAGAGTCAGAGCTTTACTAGTGGGTAACAAGTAGTCCTCCAGTAAAATGTGCACACACACACACACACACACGCACACACACACACACACGTCTTGATTATTCTAAAAACAACAAAAATGCCCCCTTACCTACTTTATAAAACAGAAACTAATATGCTCATTCTCTCGGCCTAAACTAGCTTTTCTTCAATTCCCACTACCGCACTACCGTGTTCTGGTACAGCCACTGGTTGCTGTTAATCCCCAGATGTACCCTCTGCTTTCTTTTGCTGTCCATCCCTTTGCTGATGGCCCTGCCAACCCCCACCCCTCTAATCCCATTTGCACTAAATCATGGCCATCCTCCAAATATGTATTTACTTTAAATATCTCCATTTCAACAAGAGTTCCTGAAACCATAAAATTAAATGGGCTCGAATATATTTGCTGTCTTGAGTATCTCCTCTATGACTTGCCTACTCTACTTTCTAGAATATTTACTTGTGCAGCATTATTAACCCTTTATTAACTCCTTGATGATAGGATCTATGTATCTCTGACCTCCAATGCCTGATGATAGCTTATACATGAAAGACATCCCACAAAAGTATTCAACTGAGCTGTAGGGCACATTTGAAATTTAATGGCTACCTTTGAAGAAATCTGTTTTAATATTATGCCATCTAAGATTACACTAAAATGCTAAAATTCTCTCAACTTCCTACAAACTTTAACACACAGCCTGTAGAAAGACTCCATTTCTCTTGAGATGGTCTAGTGTCAAGGTTTAAAAGCTCACATAAGATCTTAAAACGAATGCCTCTCTAAAAATAAGAAAATATTCCTCAATATCCTCAGCTCTTCCAAAGTACTTCACAATCAAAAGTGAAATATAACAAAACGTCATCATTCTCTGAAAGGCATCTACCTCAGGGGTGAAAAGCAACAGCTTAGCAAGAATACAGAGACACTAACCACTTGTGATAGGAACTCAAGTTTATATAGACCAACTGAAATGACACGGAACCCTGTGACAGTGAAACAGAAAGGATGTGAGAATATTTACCATAGGTAAAGGGTTTAGATCATAATAGGAGAGACTGAATGTGCTAACCTATTATGGAGTTAATTTTCAGGAATGAAATAGCATGAAATAAAATTACTTTAAAAGTCCATAAGAAAAAAATATATATATATATAATCTCCAACAGGCTGATCTCATAAAATGGATATTTTTCTCATTTTTAAGTTTATTTGCTCAATTTATTTCAAAATATATAGACTAATAATTTTACATTCTCAAGTCATTATTCGGTAGCAGTGGAATACAGATTCCAATTTGCTACCTCAGTTCTTTGTTTCACATTCATAACACAAAAAGGGCTAAGGGCTGTTTCTATACACATGTGAACGAGAAACAAAAACTCTCTCCCCACCTCACAGATGCAGCAGGAGGGCCCTGGCTTCTGTTGGAATCTGACCAAGCCTCCCCTCCAATTCCCATTTTAATGGGGAAACTTTCAAACCAAAAAAGTTAAGACAATCGAAGTGAATGAGTTAATATTTATTTTACATTATTTTTAAAGGATCAAAAATCACTAAAAAACAGTTTTAAAAACTATCCTCAGAAGGCAACCTCAATAAGCAAAAAGTAAACAGGAACATATTTTCATTCATCAAATAACTGAGCAGAACAGTTACCTACATGTAATGGAGAGAAAATAGAAAACTAACAAGATCATGAGTTAAAGTCAGTTTTATGTTATTTAAATGGTTTCATTTTAACTTGAAGCCATGATAACCTGTGTGTAAGTTTAAGAAAGATGACTAAATTTAAGTTGCACCAAAGATGAAATATAAAGACAAACACTTGTTAACAGTAAGTCTGTGTAATCAAATGACTTATAGTGGAATAAACTGAATTCAAACACATCTCCAGTTTGTCAAGTTTTCCTAATTCTTTGTGGAGCTATCTTGCACAATCATTCCAATGACATGATAATGATCATTTTGCATACAATATACTTCTCTTTCTCTTGAGAGGTACACTCTACCATTTAAGTCAATTTTGTTCTCATTTTATGTAAGTGTGAAAAAAAGAACAGATGTTTTTCCAAAATTATTTAAGCTTGGAAGACATGCTATCATTTTCTTCAATATAATCCTTCAGAATCACCAAAATCATCATGGTGATGTCTTAGTGGCTGACTTCTTCAAAGCCCACGTTATTAAATATCAGAATGCACAGCATTGTTCCATAGATAAAATGTTTATTACAATAGAATTATTTGCCACACTCATTTCATTTTCCACCACGGGCTTTAAAAATAAAGTCTAGTAGTTCTCCATGTCAAGCACTAAAAGGTTTCTAAAACTTCAGCTCATTCCTTACTGCCTAGATTCCTTTGGATCTTGTCTGATACATTTCACTGCAGTTATCAGCTAGATTTATCATGCTTCATTATAAACCCTATTAAACTGGTCTTTTTATAAAAGTGGACTTTGCTCTGTATTACTCCAAAGTCCTGCAAATACTAAAATGAGATCCTGCAGAATCCTTAAAGATGCAGAGCTGCCTTTGAGTTATTTTTTCATTATGCAAAACTTGGCCCAGGAGCGATGGCCATGTACCTGGTTAGCTAAAACAGGCAAGCATAACAGGACTGCAAATTAATTCACCATGCAGGTTTCTAAGGCAGATCTAAGTCTAACAAACTATTAGGGCAACTTGGTGAAGTCAGAAGCTCAGAAGCGTTTATCCTTACGGTCTCTTCCTCACTCTCTCGGAATAAAATCTCATTAAGCTCAACCTGCACGAGAAACAGCACATGCTCTATGGGAACCAACAAGTATAGGTCTAACTCTAAGTTTTCAGAAGTATAATCAGTACATACTCTCAAGCTCCCTCCAACACAGCAAATACACATGAAGATAATCAAGTATTTACTCTTTCTCCTTTTATCAGTCCCTTGTGTTTATGGAGTGAAGGATTCCAAGGGACCTCGTATTATTATGTAACACGTCGTCTAGCCAATGTGATGTAGTTAGGAATAGAGCATCAAAACCTTTTACTTTATCAATGATCATATCTATTAATTAAAAATCACTTTCATTCGGGCGCTCATTCCCTATTCATGTAAGTTCTTGTCCCTTTACTTTCCATAAGAACTCTAGAGTTAAGTGGTGTAGAACAAGTTTCATTCAATCTTTCCACCCAAGTTGTGAAGCTTACTGACATCAGAACCACACAGTTCTCTAAAATGCTGGAACAACACGGATCAGTTGCATCAGAAGCCAGAAATAAGGCAAGCAATGTGTCTCCCATTTCAATAAAGGTAGAGCACTTCTCTATTTTTGAGCCTGGAAACAGGCAAGCCTCTTGGGAGGAGGTGCCCCATTAGTAACAGTATGCAAATTCCTGAAGGAAAACAAGCAATATTCTCCCTCGGATGTTATGAAAAGATCTTTAAGAAATCAACAGACTAGGCTTCCATGTGTGGATTGCAAATGTCATCCAATTGAGGAAATTAAAAAAAAATCCTCCCTTAGATATGCGCGTTGGCTTGTTTTTGACACTTTGATGATGACAGAGCATCAGGTTTGAAGGGTACCAGAGAGAAGGGCCAGCATGTAGAGAAACCCGGGAGAGCCACACACGCATAGAAAGTGAGGATGATATCAGACGCATTTCATTTCAAGTCTGATGAGCCTGCATTTAGGATTTTCCGGCTGGGCAGCTTTGCCAAGGCATTTGGGAGATGGGGTTTTTCTTCCGCTTCTCACACTCACGCACATACACACAGCCAGACACACACCTGGGGCGCATTCAAACTCTCTGTACAGTAGGTGGCATATATGAATGCACATATTTTTAAAAAAATAGCTCGACATCCGACAAAGACAGGAAGGCAGCTTAGGGGCTGAGTCTGGCTCTAGAAACGTGCACAGCCCCGCAAGTAAAGGAAACATTTCTGAGGATGAGGACAGACATAGCAAGCGGGAGGGGCGGGGGCCCACAGAGACAATACAGAGACCCGCCGCTCCCCACCCACAGGGTGCCCCAGGGCCCCCCGCGCGTAACCCCGGCTTACTGTGGGCTCTTGGGGTAGAAGGGCAGGGTCACATGGCTGAGATCCTGGATGTCGAAAGCGGTGGGCTCGGCGGAGATCGCCTGTCGCTTGGTGCGCGGCTCGCCCTGCAAGGTGCTGGCGCTCTGCTTCTGCGCCTGCTGGGTGGCCGGCCGGATCACCGAGCGGTACTTGTCCAGCTCGTTCTGCAGCTTCTGGATCAGTTCGTCCTTCTGATCCAACTCCAGCTCCAGCTCGTCGATGAGAGCATCCCGCTGCCTGAGCTCCTCGATCTTCTCCTGGAGCGCGTACTGGAGATCCCGCAGGGTGCCCATGCTCCTCCCGGCTGCCGGGGGCTCCTTCCCCGCGCTGCTCCGCGTCTCGGGGCTTCCTCCCCTCTCCGATCAACTTTCCCCAAAGTCGCCGCTGCCTCCCGAGTGCAAAAGCTTCCTACTTGAGACCAAAGCCAGCCCTGGCTTCTGAGCATGCCCAGTCCGCGGGCTCCAGCCACCGAGAGTTTCTGTGCAGATTCCACTTCTCGGGGCTGATGGAGAGGCTGAGTGTGGGGATGAGCAGAACAGCAGGTCCAACCCGGGATGAAGCCTGACGCGCGGTGGGCGCTGCAGGGGGTCCGAAGGGCAGCTGCGCGGTGGTCAGGGAGCAGGAGACCGGGACTCGGAGGAGGCTCCCGGGCAGCGGTTGGTCTGCCGGGGTCACTTGCGCTGGGAGCCAGAGGAAGCCAGTGGTGCGTGTGCGGAGCCTGATAACCCTGCGGGGCGCGCCAGGGGCTGTGCAGGCGGAGAGGCGGGAGCACCACTTTGCCGGTGGGGAGGGGAGAGGGGAGAGACAGCAAGGACCCCAGGCAACTGGGAAGGTGGCAGCCGGCTCCAGAGCAGACGAGTCTTGAGGACAAGGGACTACAATCCTGGAAACATGGGAGAGCAAAGCGTACTCTGCATCTTAAAAGCTCTGAGTTCTGGAGGGATTTTGACCACCAGCCTCACCAGGAAAGGCTCCCGAGTCACGTGTCTGAACTCTCCCTACTCCCAAGCCACCTTTCCTACCGGGAGCGCAGCACACAGGTGGCCAAGGCCGGAAAAGAAACTTGCTTCTCAGGAGATAGAGCAACTCTGGATTCCCCCGAATATCCAGGTGTCTTTGGGGAAGGGAAGGGGGATGAGGCTTCCCCCCCGCCCCTCCCCCCCCAAGCATTCCCACACTGCCTGCTCCTGCTAATTCCTCCCCTTTCCCCCTTTTCCAAACTCAGGTTAATGAACTATTTTTTTTTTGGGGGGGGGGGGTATAGGGAGCATGGGAAAAATCATTGCTGATCTCCAAAAAGTTCATCCTAAAATTGAACCATACCTTTAAAAATATTATTTCCCTGACAACTAAGCTGTTAGGTCTGTGCCCTTCCACTTGAATAGCAAGACACAAACTTTGAAAGAGAGAAGATTCTAAAGAGAAGGAGGGCTATACCACTCACTCCACCTCTACCCACCCTCACCCCTATTCCTGCCCACTAGATTATTTCCTGAAGTGATGACAATTAAGTAGCATCCTTTCTGTTCAAGGGTAATTCTGACATCATTGAAACACATGATGTTTAAAAGCGCCAAATATTTACTTAATGCTTACCTAAATTTATAATATTTATCTAATCTTCATCTCATCCAATTTTATAACATCTTTATTAGCAGCCCTCTAATTATTCTTGGGCACTGAATGATATAAACCTCAATGCTACACTTGGCCATCCTGAACACTAAAACAAAGTAGATAGGTAATAGTTTAAAACTGAATTGCAATCTAGAACTCTAGCCAAGGACAGATATATTAGTCTCAAAAAAGAATAAAAACTTGCTTTCTTTTACTTTTGAATGCACAACTTTTTCTATCTGAGCTAAGAAAAGAAGAAGGAAGAAGGAAGAAAGGGGCAAGCCAACAGCAAGTTAGTAAGCTTTTTGATTTAAAGAGGTGTAAATGACAAAGAATATATAACCCTAAACATTCTTCTACACAGATTATGACCTAATTCTCTTAGTACAGATGTTTTAAGACAGGTTTTCTGCTTTCCAACATGAATGTGTAATACACAAAATGGATCATCCCCAAAACATTTCATTTGTAACACACAAAACTTGAATAACTTACAAATACTGAGAGCAGGAAATAATAGTTCTGAATTTCATTGTTGTCTTAATTAAAACAAACCAAGCAGAAGGACTATAGCTTTGCATAACTGACACTACTCTAAAAGAGCTTCTGTGATACTGTCTTCCCCCAGGCAAAAGGCCAAGTTCTTATCTTTCTAACCTATGGGAATTCTTTGATTCCATGGGAAAATGCTTAAAACTTTTTCCTATCAATCTATTATAGGGGTCCAGGTGGCCAAGAGTTTATGTCTAAAAATATGTCAGAAACATTGTATAAGTAACATCATTAGTTAACTGCTAAGCAGGGTTATATTTTAAGGTTCATTTGAGGCTTCAAGGGGGTTACTTAATGTATTTGGGCAGCACAAAGTAGAAAGCCTGCTACATGCACAACCAAAATGGAAATAAAAGCACTTTTCCATCAAAATTAAAATTGCATTTTAACCAAAAAATATTCAGGTATCTTTGAACAAAAGTGAGGGTTGTTTTTTTACACTAAGTGGCATAATTTGTTTCACTATTTAAGCTATCATATCTACATGCAACCATAGGATATATTCGTGTGGCATTTTCATTTTAAATGGAAGTCTTGTGATACAAAATATATACCATGATTAATCCCATATTGAAATTCAGAAATCAGTTGTAATAAATGCAAAGAAAGTAAGCAGCCAGGAAGAAATGACTATTACAGTTGACATGCTTTAAAAAATGTTCAAGGTATAAGAATATATTTAGTTGTATTAGCCTGTATTATGAAAAAATAATTTAATTTCCTCTTAAATACTTTAGAATTACATATGCAAAAATCCAGAATTCTAGACTATTCTCTTCTGTTCTTAAACTCAACATAAATATTATAAGAAAGTTTTTCAATGATGTTCTTAACTGGTTGTTTAGGGCTTTAAGGACCTAATTTTCCAGCTCAAACTTTTGAGTGATTCCAATATTTTCTTAACCACCTTTTGTACTGTACTTGGTAAGTGCTAGGAATGAATTTTATGTGAAAAATCAAGGTCCTGCAGTTAAATTTCAACAGACTAGTCTTCCTATGTGTCTTATAATAAGTTTAATTGGTTAAAATTTAATATCAAAGATCAGACACATGTCTACTTTCTGCTCATTTAGAAATGGCTGCCACAAATCTGGAATAAACTGGGGTTGAATGACATATACTGACTCTCCCACTGCCTACCTGGAATGACGTCTTGATGTTAGATGTTAAAACAGAGAACAATGCAATTTTGAAGGAACTGAGTTCATACTCTAGCTTTCCAGAGTCAACTCACAACCTACTTTTCAGCAGTCTCTCTTTGTCATAACTGTAATGGAAACAACGCTCTACCAGTAGCCAGACCAAATTGTGGCATGTTGATGCTCTTCAATTTTGCATCCAACTTTCATGAATGAGAATAAGTATTATCAGGCCTTCTTTCAAATCTCAGAATCCTTCAATAAAGTATTCAATAATGCAGCTTTATTTATTAAAAAATAAAATCTGAAGAAGTTATAATCCTTCACTAAGAATATAATTTGCCCCAAAAGAACTGTGATAATTTTGCCATCCAGTTTGCCCCTCCCACTGATGGAATATTTCTTGGAATAGTCCTAAGTTTGACATTTTCTTCTGCCACTTCATGTACATATGTTGAACTGCAAGAAACAAAAAACAAAAAACATAGCTAGCTTTTTGGACCATGAAAGCCACCCCTTACAGAAAATTGGTAGCAGTAACAAGTACCCGTAAGAATCTAGATATGGAAGTTACTATTACTGGTAGACATACTAGCTTGCTCTAAATTGCCAATCCTAACCAATATCATAATAAAAATAGCTAGCTTCCTTGAACTCGTAATGCATAGCAGGCATTGTTCATGTAACCCTACAAATTGGACATTATTGTTATTTCCATTTATATTTGAGAAAACAGAGGCACAAAATCACCCACCTAATAAATGGTAAGGCCTGGATTCGAATACAGACCCTTACCCTCTCCCTGCATTGCCCTCTATAGGAATTCCAGCTGTTGCTCTTGCCTTGGCCCTGGACCCAGAGAGATAAGAGTGTTCTTACCGTTAACTAGCCTGACTGTGGAGCGAGGCTAGGGACATAGAAATAGGAGAAAATTGGAAAATCCAGCAAGAGTAGGCAACAGATGTTTTACAGGTTCCTTTTCCTAAAACTGTCTTCACTCCAGCACCATTTCATCCTGTTTTAGGATGATCATCTGTACCCATTAGCCTGACGTTGTTCTGGTTTTAATACTAAAATTGTTTGGGACTGTCCTGGTTTTAAAACTGAAGTCCTAGGTACCCCTTGGTCCTGGACAAACCAGGACAGTTGGTCACCCTAATTAATTCAGGACCAATGAGCCTCTCTATTTCATAAATATTTTCAAATTTTGCTTTCAAAGTTACTGATAGAAAAGTAAAGCCAAGGAATATAAATAACAATAATACCTATTATTTTAGGCACATTACAAATCCATTTAATGCATTTGTTTGTGTAAATATGTTTTAGGAAAGCAATCATCCTATTCCAAAGCCTAATAATACACCACAGAAATTGTCTTTGGACTGTAAAGGGGAACCAGTCTGACAACAGAATTTTAATTACAGTTTGATGAGTCAGAAAAGAATTCAAGGCTCTCTTCGTTTCATTGTAATAGAAATCTGGAGTTTAGACACATGGGCTTCCTATGGATTAAACACCGCATTTCAAGCACCTATCTGATTATCACTTATAGAATTATATTACTCTATGATTGTGTTTTATAGATAGATTCAGCCATCAGGAATGCATGTTTAAATGGATATAGTAAAAGTTCTCATGGTTAGGCTGTTTTGAAGTCATACTGCTGAGAATTATATGTTCAGCATAAAAAGAAAAAAAAACATAAACCATTAATGATGAAAAACTTACTGCAGAGACTTGGAAAGTAATAGTGCATTGTACAGTAATTGCTAATGTGCTTAGAGTTTAATAGCAAATTAGTGTCATGCCTAATATTCATTGAAATGAATTCTTATAGTCCGCAGCTTCAAATGATGGTAAGTTAGCACTGGGGCTCAGCCTGCACTAGTGTCCCCCCCCCAAATCCATGCACTAGCTAACAAAAAGAACATTTCTTTGTGCTGTTAGTAAGCTTCCCGTTTCCAAAGACCAGAAGAAATAAAAGATTTCTAAGAAGAAAAATATTGGGTTTTCTGTATTTTTTCATGAATAGAAAAATTTTAAATGCATAAAAGGGAATTTAAAATGATTTTTCCACAAAATATTATTTTACTGCATGTTAAGCCCAGTGAATATATGCATGAGTATGAACATCATAATATCTCTGAATCTGATTAATAAGTTATAGTTTCTCAGTTCCATTTCAATGAAACTTCTGGTATATCAAGCACATTATTTCCTAAGTTAATGCATCATTATTTTCCCCACAAAATATTCAAAAACCTTTGCAAAAGTAATTTTGCTTTTGAAAATGGATTTGATATCATGTGGCTTATGGGAGAATAGCTCTGGAGTCAATTATTTTTTGTTGTTGCTTTTATATTAAATAGCTTTTAACAGATTCCACAACTTACCATTTTCCCCCTACATGCTTTGTAATCAAAACTGAAAGTAAAAAATAAAACTATATTTTGCTAGGAACTTTCTAAAATTAGGAACGTGGGAAGGTAATGAGGCTATAAGAAACGATAAAATGGAATATTGAGTAAACTGGATTTTATTGGTAACTAAAATGAATGAACTGGGCAAGAGAAATATGGCAAGACATTTATACTGTGAGAATGTCAGAGATTTGGAGGAGAGGGGAACTTGCAGGCAAAAAGGCTAAGTAGG